ACGAGATGATATATCTGCAACGGGCAACAAAGATACTAACGGCAGGATTTAGAAGGCGGAATAAACCAATAGAAAATCGCTAAAAGCGCATCCCCTGATGCGAAATACAATCCTTAGAAATGCAAGTCCTGAGAATTGAAAGATCTTTAGATAATAGAAAATTGTTGAATTTGTTTCGCAATCCATGCGACTATATCCTCGAAGGAGACGAATCGAGAACATTGTCACTAATAATCAGGTGAGCATTTATTGCTTCCTTTTATACATGCAAAATTATTTGTTACTGAGAGGAATCTGTCATTAGCAGATTGTGTGCATATGAAACCAATTGTTGAATGTACATTTTATGGATTTGAGCTATTGTTTTCAAAACAGAAATTATTAAAGTAATTTGTCAATTAAATTTGCTACTAATGATCAAGTCATAAAAACAAAATGTCATATAGAAGTCACATAGGAGTAGTAATCACATAATAGTAGTAGGGGGGCCTGGGTTGTGCCACTTTTTTTTGATCAACAATAATTTTGTTAATTTACCAAAAGTTGTCGGAAAAGTAAATTGAATGGTAATTTTTTCATATGTCAACGTGGAAATACTGAAATACCGTTCTTAAATACAATGGATTTGTCATAAAATCAGTGTTAACGATTCTTTGTTCTCGTATAGAATTTTTCTTTCCCTTTCTCTTTCGGATTTTGTGTTAATTTTTTTTAATCTGTTTAATCTCCACCCAAAAAAACACATTGTTGAAAACAAGTTACCATTATGATTGAGCTAAATTATCTTCGCAAAAACTAACTGCTGATAATTAACTACGAATGTTCAACTTATAGCAAAATAACGAACAAAGTGATCTGTATACAAGTAGTCCAGTCATCATAGTAAGTCGCAATTCGAGATACCCAACATTTTAAAGCACATTAACATTTAAAAGTTGTCTCAAAACCTACATATAAGTAGGGTGTACGTACCATATGTAGGTTGAGACAACTTTTAAATGTCAATATACAAGTAATTACAAACTTACACCTGGGTATCTCGAATTCCGAGATTCTTACCTAATTTAAGCTTAAATGACTGGGCTAAAGTAACAGTTAGTGTTAAAAAAATCGAACATGAAAACAACTTTTGACTCTTTAAAAGCAAAGCGGTCAACAGATCGTGTTAATGTAGGATGCTAGCTAAATGCAATAATGGAAACTTGTTTAAACAAACATACTTCATCTTTCTCGCTTCGAACCATATCTAAAAATTATTATAGTTTAGTTGTTATGACGACTGTCACTACCGTACCTTGAGACAACCATACCCAGTCTCCCCTATTTTATATAAAGTTTACTTGAAATGACAATATAATGAAATATTTAATATATTTAACTTTCGAGTAAATTGCTAACATGATATAAAACTGCATGTTTAAATACTTTTATGATCATTCGCTTGACTCATACATAAAATAATAATACCATACAATAAAAAATGAAGTATACTTCATGTTACTTTTTGTAGGTTTTATGTATAATATTATATCTTATGTATGAGTCAAGCCAATAATCAGAAAAGTATTTATTAGTTCTATTTTCCTAGCTTATACTAAAAATTTATATCCTAACTTATAGGCTCATAGACTTAGAAGGAAATTTACAAAACTTCAGAAGCCTATGAGCATATAAGTTAGGATATAAATTTTTAGTCTAGGAAAAAGAACTTTTAGGCTAGGAAAAAGAACTAACGGCAGAAAATCAAGAACATTATAAGATAAGATTATATTTAACTTAAACATCATAAGTTAATTTATTCCTTAATGTTTTCAAACTAAAATTGTTCAAAAATTTAAATTTGATTCGAAATACAAAATTAACGGAGATTTTCATAGAATGCCTTGTCAATGAATGCTACATGAAAATTAAGCACAACGAAAATTGTTCCTCCTTTGAAAATAATGAAAAACTTGAGTATAAAACATCGAGGAGCATACAATTTTATTTATTCTATCTTGTATACTGAGAACAAACTTAAAATGCCTAAAATTAATAAGTAAACGAACGTCGATACATATTTACGCAATAAAAAAAATTAATAATTGAATCTTTTATCCCGAATTATAAAAATAATCACGCATAATTTCGTGCTTCTATAAGTACTAAAAATCTATACTAAAAATATTTATTTTTAAAGCATGTTTTTATATTTATGTATAAGGAATTTAGTTAAATGTTATATTTCGGGCACTGATAGATCAAAGACAAGGGCTTTAAGAAATGTAGACTAAAACTATGTATGTATGTATGTACGTATGTATACCATCATAGTGAGAATAAATTTAAAGTCGCTCCTTTTGAATATATGTGTAATATCCATAAAATCTGAGAATTTTCACAAAATTCGAAATATTACTTTAGAAGCAAAATTTATTTAGATTTGTTAATCATTTAACCATGAGCAGAAATATCGCACTATTTTATAAGCAAGACTAAAAAAGTAGAAGTATTAGTTTGGCCTTTGTTACACTTTTGTTTTTACTATTAAATCATTTTGCAGTAGATGCCATTTTTGCAATATGTTTATAAAGCAGTCTCCATTTTCCTTCGCAATTCAGTAGAATTGTCACTTCAGTGCACTCTACAGTAGTTTCTTGTGTGTAACTTTGTCCTTCTTCATTCTTCTGCATAACAAAACTTTGCAAATAGTTTTTGTCTACTTTCCTTAAAGCTCTTGTCTTTGATCTATCAGTGCCCGAAATATAACATTTAACTAAATTCCTTCTTAAATCAGTTTCCAATATTGCTCAAAAGTTTGTTGCAATCAACCATGAATGAAATGATCCTATTAAATAGTATTTATAGAATGCAGTACAAGGCATTGTGTGCTTTGAGGCTAAACTGCTTAAGACAATATTAGATAAACCAAATAAGGCTGTTTAGAATTTGAAATTTGTAAAAAATATAGAATAGAATAGAATAGAAGCAATCGATTTTACTTGTACATTACATTGCAATTGTTTACAATATCATATTTAATATATTATATTTCAAAACCCAAATTTCGAATAAAATTCGAAATTTCAATTTATAAAATGTTCAGATGTAAAATTTCACTAATTGCCTTGCACACCACATAATATTCTAATTAATAATACGAAACTAAAATTTATTTATGCCACATAGGGCCTATAAAGTACGCAAGTAAAAATAGCGACAAAATAAAAAATAGGGCATTCAATTCACAAATGATAAAAACATTTAAAAAACAATTAATTTTGTTAAGCATAAGCGTGCGTTCAGAAGAAACTTTAGAAAAACTAAAGTCATTATTGGAAATAAGTGATTTAATTTAATGCTATACATCAGTTTGTAAAAAAAAACATAAGTGTCTTAAGAAGTGTATTTAATTTGTAAGTATTTCTAAAATTTTTGAAAAATTAAAAAATAACTATGATATATTTTTTTTAATTTCATGAATATTTTTATTTTGTGAGAAATTTTTATTCTCAAAAAAATATTTACGAGGAGCCTCGCATGCTAAGGGTACGCTTTAGATTATCACTTGTTGAAAAATAATAAAAAATAAGTTCCTTATAATTGGTTCAGAGTTAATGAGCATGCCCATATATGAATATATACTTAATTCAATTTTGTTAATTATAAACCTGAAGTCAGTGTGGGAACTAGTCAACTATTGTGAACACTGAGTATAATTCCGAAAACTAAGTTGTTTACAGTAAAATATTTTTGTCGTATAAAAGAAATACTTAAATGCTTGGATTAAAGATATTCAGAATAAGGATACCAAATATTAAGTGGCCGTTTCTCTCATAAAATATTATGTTATGAATTATGATCTAATGAGTTGATATTCACAAATTGTCAAAAAACTATGTATTAAAAAACCTAATCTCGAAAAGATACAAATGTCAAATAACAAGCCCCTAAGAGTACTTAGTAACTTACAAATGTTTACTTCTATTTGATGTATTGATATCTATAACGATTTACTAAGTAAATTCAATGAAATATTTATTTCATGTCTGTACATGCTACCTTTTAGTGGTTTATTATTTTCATAACCAGTAATAGCGTATGAAAGTAGCAAATAAAATCATAGATATTTTATATTCTGTAATATTTATATTTATATTTGTTATAAATATATATCAAAACTGCATGCGCACTCATACGTAAAATAAAAATTCTCCATATTTGAATAAACGCATTAATATAAAATATAGGTCTCAAAGATCCTCATTCGTCGTATAGTAAAAATATATATTAAAGAAATAATTCTTCAATATATATTTGTTTTGCTTTAATTATAATTATCTAAACTTACCACTAAATGTTGTACGTTCATATTAATAGATATCAATATATTGTCATAATTCATCATCAATACATTAGTCGAAGTTTCTTACCTGAAACAAACAAAAATCATGTAAGATGATATAACACCTTAAAAAAATTGTAATGTTCATAATATACATGTTCATAAACATATTTATTATGGTCTTTCGAATTCTATATCTAGAACATCAAACACGTTACATAATTTAATTTATTATTATAAAATAATAAATTGAAATAAAACATTCTCTTTTGCCCTAATTTAGAACATTTGAAACAGAGATCTATGAAAACGAAGTAAATCTTGTTATAAAATAATGCATAATAAATCACTTTTTGCAGACACAAAACTTTCATATTATTCTCTGGTTTGGGCTTCAAAATTAAGTTTACAAACTTTTTGGAGCGCATCCTCCTCGGACGTTGATGTTCATGAAACTTTGGTCGAGTCACTCGAAAATTAAATTTCAATGAGAATATTCATCTTTCACTTGATTTACACACACCAATATTGCAAAAAAGCTAGTTATTTATTTAAATTATTTATATAATAAAAAATGATTATTACTACCAATGTTCATAATAAATATATTTTAACCGGAAATGGAACTGAAGTATTACCATTTTTTACATCCATTTAAATTGAAAGAAATACATACCTATATGCGTAGTAGTGTATAGTAGTATGTATATAAAAATGATTCGGTGTTCTGACAGACGCTAGTGCGTACAATGAATTCAGCGTCATTCGGAAATGCCGTAATAATACTTTATTAAAACACAAACTAGTCACTAGATGTAAATGCACATTTATTTAGTTACTCACTAATCATGCAATAATTTCACTAAAATTGTCCAGATTCACTAATCACTCACTAATCATGCAATAATTTCACTAAAATTGTCCAGATTCCTTCGGCATATCATTTGGCTATGTGACGGCGTCGACCCGATGTATTTGCTGCCGGGTCGACGCGATCTTGTGCCTACGAGACGAAGGTATAAACTGAACGATTAAGTTCATTCCCATAATTTGCATAGCCATAGATCAACAAAGCTATATTGCAAAGATAGGAAACTTATATACAAACCATTTGAGGTTGTATCAAAATATCGATATTTTAGATACAATGGTCCTCTGTTGGTAATTGATTTTAATCCCAACCTATAATATTTGTGAAGAACTTGTAAACAAACCTTTTGTATAAAATTATCGATATATTAGATACAACTGCCCTCTGTTGGAGTATTCGATTTTAATTCCTATCTATAATATTTCCATGAAAACACTTTGGCAACTGAGCTGATTGTATGTTGTAAACAAAGAACAATGTCAAGCAAATGGTCGGCAAATGTTTTCATAAATGAATATTATTTAAATATCGAGACTTTTAATGTTACATACGAAACTAAATAATTCAATTTTAATGAAATTTAACAAATGTAATCTAATTCTATATGAAGTACAGAGTACATACATAAAAACATATACAAATAAATATATTGGAACAAAATAAGTGGACATAGTGTTTTAGTGGTGTTTTGTCAGAAATTTTCGATTTAAGCAATTAATTATAAAAATGTATTAAAATTAGGAATAATGGGCCACGCATGGTTAGTGCAGTCATATAATAATATATTAGAATAGCTAAAGGTGTCTACAAAAGTACATTATTATAAAGCATTATCTGGAAGTTCAAGGCAATATGTCATACACCTAATTAGGAATAATATCAATATCTCATTTCATTAAAAATAATACATTTGTAGATCTGTTATTCTCGAAAAATAATATTTATGCAAAATATACAAAAATGATTTGAAATACGGAATTATGAATTGAATTACCAAAGGAAAAGCGGTATAATAAAATTTAATTTCTTAAAGTGTATAACACTATTTAGTATATGAAAATGTATGCGAGTAGTGCATAAATTTAGATTAATTTGAAATAATTCACTCTGCGCATCGTACTTGCAGCATCTTATTCAACTTTGGTGGAATCAGCATAACTTCTTCATTTTACGAGGAGAATATGAAATATGCAAAACATCAGATGTTTGCATGTCCCAAGTTCTGCTAATTACTTTAATAAAGTGTTTTATTAAAGAACAGGATTCGTTCTTGCGCATCAAATTGCAGTCGAACACAGACACAAGACACAGTGATCTAACAATTAATTAGTTATGTTTTGATTTGCTATCCATTGCGATAAGTTTTAATTTATTTTGATGCAGATGAAATAAATAATCAATAGTTCAAAATATTTTTTTCATACTACCTATTTTATTATTCTAATATGAATTACAATCTGTCAATTTCATGAACATTTAGTAGCTCGTATTTATAGTTTTTTTTTCCTAGATGTCATGTTTTTTTACGTACTTTATATTAGTATATTGACCTTATTTTTTAAACAATGACCCATAAATCTATTTTCAAAATATTTTTGATCTTATTTACAAGTGAATTTACTACTTCTTGATATCAGGATGCAAGCAACGCTGCTTTTAAACCTGGATCCTTGTGGTTGCAAAGTCAGAGGCTCTATCGAGTTTAATTACAAGTTTATTGTTTATATTACATAGTGTAGTGCATTACCATATCCTGATACCATAGATTATTGAATTTTCTGTTTTAACACTAAGATTAATAAATTGCAAGTACTTTTGACTCATTATATTTTTTCCAATTCAATCGAGATCTATAACCTCAAGTGGAAATTTGACATCAAAGCTGCCTGAAGCCGGACTACTAGGGCGCCGGTAGGCCCTACTCATTAAAAATTCGATATTATTGTTATATGAATATTGAATTGTGGATGCCAACTATGCTATGTATCACGATAACTATGTTTTATTGTCGGTATATCGTTTTGAATAATGTGCACATTATAAACGCATAAATTCCTTAGTAAGTTAATGAGAATCGACCGTACAGTATAGTTTATTCTATATTGCTTTTATAATTATAAACTTTATGATTTTTATAATGGTAATAGTCACAACAATATAACACATATTAAACTTTGTTAAATTTGCACTCTTATCACCTGGTCTCTCATTGTTCTATCACTGAAAACGTTTATGATGAAATTGGTAAAATATAACACTTTGAATTGTTGTTTGTTATTTAGCATCTTATAAGGTATTGCTGATCTGTGCACATATTGAGATATCACTGATATCTTATTGTGACATCACTCCACTCTTCAGGTGAGTAGTCGTTCCTTTGAATAAAACAAATACATGTGCCCTACAACTACAGACGCTTGTTGCACTGTTGGTATTGCGAAAACTCTCTATCCTGGGAACAAAGAGAATACGAGTGCTTTTAATGCTTTGTTGATCTAAGAATTGGATGGATGTTAATTAATGTCTAGCGCAATGCAGCAGATAAAGAAACAAAGAACCCCTTATTCTTAAAAAGCAGCAAAACGAATTGTTAATTTCCTTTGCACGACTTCTATTTGTTTGAAAATCGAGCTCGGTTTTTCACACGACACGGCAACGGCAAGTTTTCATAAGACCGAGCGATTGAAGTTATTTAATTAAAAGATTTTTCATTAAAGTTGATTTCAGTTTGTTGTGTTTACGGTATATAAAGTCGTAGCAAATTATGAACTCGAAGACTAAATTCACAAAATAATATTTAATTATATGATCAGTACGAACAGCGAACAATATTGTGTCAACAATTCAGTGCAGTCATGTTGCTATGTGTACCTATCCCCTGTTTTACACCTTTTCGAACATCAATTTTTTTTAAATAAATTTTATCAATTTTACATTTACACTAAATTATAAATACTACAAAATGTATGTTTCAGCTACAAATTCTTAGTGGTCTTCGCCTATTATGGACATATGCAGATAATATGGGAACGTTTTTTGATCAAAACTAAACTTTATGCGTGTATATGTCATTATACTGTTATTACTACAATAAAACTTTTTCTTCTTTTATGTAGATTGAGTCGGTAAATCATAGCAGAATAACTTATAAAATTATATAAATTTTTATTTCTGTTTATTAATAATTAAAAAGTAAGGAACAATATAACAAAAAATGCAATGCAATGTCACAAACAATCACTTATTGTTAGATACAACAAATGAAACAAATAAAACCAAATGGTTCGTTATTCCTATATGGATTTTTCTGTTGAAAGTAGTACACATTTTCTACATAAAATTTAGGTTCTTAATCGTTTCAAATCAGTTAAAATATTTTATTACTCTTTGATATTTAACAATATTGTATTCAAGAAAGTTTATGCAATTTAAATTTTTGTTTCTCTATGCAAACAATTTCTTTTTTTTATTTATTTTTGAACATCAATCAGAACCTTGGGTCCTATGAGCTGTTGGGCTGAAACTTCTCCTTACTTCGTATTTTTTAGATGGTAACCCAATGGTTAATCCATCCATATTTGATGATTTTTTGTTATTAGAATTAATCTAATAGAGCTGACATTTTATTGGTGCAGCAATGCCGGTCAAGGGCTATTTTCACTTGGAAACATATTGCTATCTATATTTCCAAGTGAAAATCGTTGCCACTGCTGCTTGACAACAGGCTGCTCGAAGTGGGTATCGAACCCGGGACCTCTGATACAAGTCCCGTCGCTCTTAACCGCTTACCTACGGGCGAGCCCCAAACAATTTCTAGGAATAAGAGTACCCCACTAGTTATTTTCATCTTCAGATCATATTGTTTATTTCATACAGAACTTTGTTTCAAATTAATACGTTACATTACACCATACATAAACATGTACACAGTACAAATATTATATAATAATTTGCGGTCATATCTATTAAGCCATTATGCTTTTACTGGAAACATAAATGGAAATTCCGACCATAAACAAAACTCTCACGATTATAACGTTAATCCTTTGTAAATGGTCTAACAGTATATATAAAACAGGAAATATATAGTTAAATAGCAATAATACTTCTGAGGATGTTCTTTTGGATAGCAATGTAGTAATTTGAATTTGATTCAATTTAAGAAATACAAAAATACACGCTCTATTAAATAATAACTGTCACTTTTTAATCAAGCATAGTAATAAAAATTCTGAAAATGTATCAACCATATGCAAAATTAATTGAAACGGCATGATTAATAATTATTATATCAATTTTAAATATAAAAAATTTAATTTAAACAAATCATTGAAAACTTATAATATGTATAGTTTTATAAAAAAGTTACTTTCTGATCGTATAATTAATTTAATCACGGTATCCAGTATTAATCTATTTGTACATATTTCACAAGAATACATATAAGGTGTAATTGTAAAACACACATACCTATATTCCTATATGTAATGATTCGCCCATATGAATAAACGAATCAGGAAACTATTCCCGCACATGAGCTTTTGCCAGTATTTTTAGAAGGTATCAAACATAACTTTCGAATCAATATTGACTTCTATTTGCGGAACCAGGTTGCTCCGCAATTTACCTCAAACAGACAAACAGTCTAACTCATTGGTAAATAGTTCTGCGTTCGTATGTCACTTAACAAAAACTGATTGGCATTATACATGATATCAAAAACTGTAAAAGTTTTATTTAGAAAGTAGTGCATTGAAATTAAATCACCTTTAGACTTAATAAATTTAATTTTTTACAGCAAGTGTTTGTCACTGTAATAATTTATCATAAATTGCCTTGACAATGTCTGCGGTGTGGGTCATGCTTTGACATTTTTCAGCACACCTGATAAAAAATAATTATTTCTAAATCTATACAATAGTTTAAATTTTATTACAAGAATTCGACTTTAATAAATTTATCGCACAAATCCAAACATATTTTTTAAGTGAGTTGGATTAGTTATTTCTAGCACTA